TCCAGCTAACAAAAATGTAGTATCTTTGGTATTCACGTTTTGAATTTTCCATTTGTTTCTACTGGCAAACTTTAAAATTTTATTTTTTTTTATTTAAAAGATTGTTTTTTATTCCCATTTTTACTTTTATTAAAGAAAAGATCATCAAGTTACATGTATTTTCTCAAAACTTTTTGTACAACCACGTAATTCTATTTAATAAAGAGTGGAATTGAGCTATGGTGGTGCCATGGATCATTAGGTCTGGACCGCCATATCAATTCAAGGTGGAAGGTCACAGTTTTGGGTAGTGGGTCATCACTGAATCAATCATTGTACGATCAAGAATGGCATGATCATCATAAAATGTTTGGTCAGACCCAGGAAAAAAAAGAACCTACAAGTTATATCATTTGTTACATACAACTTATTAATGATATTTGAGAACGGATATATTTATTGGGTAAATGTATACCTTTGCTAATAATGTAATTGCAAAAAAGCCGGTAAGATTCAACCATAGTGCGAATTTTAAAAGCAAATTACTCGACAACTAATCAGTTAAAAAAGCAGAACTTTGAAATTTTATTTGGCGAATTTTTTCTGACAATAATTAATTTTCTGGTTTTTTTACAACACACTATATATTTTATTTATTTATATTTATTTATAACTTTAATTTATTTATAACTTTAATGTTTGAATGTAAATTCGTCAAATCTTAAATTATATAAAAAAAAAAATAATAATAATAATTTAAACATAAAATAATCTTAAATAATTGAAAAAACCAATAATATAATATAAATTTCTTTAGATGATTTATAAAGGTGAGAGAAAACTTCAATCAATATACATATATATTGAATGGCTCTCAACCCTACCAAAATTTTATTCGCTTTTGTGATTTTTTTTTTCTTTATCAGATTAATTGAATAGTTGATCATATAAATAAATTTATATATTAAAAAAAACCTGTACAAAAGAAAATTCCTTTTATTTTTTTTGAAAAAACTTAATAATCTTAAAAAATTATCCCACCAAGAAATCAATTACTAAAATGTATGTGTGTATGTGTAAATATATTAATCTAAATAATACTTTTGTTAAATAAACTCTATATATTAATTTAGAATATATATAATTTTGTTTTGTATATATTAAGTATAAAAAATGGGAAAAATAATTATAATAAAAAAAAATTTAATAACAATCTTATTAGAATATAAATTACATAGATAATATTAACAGAACAAAGTCCAATTAATATTATGAAAAATTATAACGAATATTATATGTATATATTTGTATAAATAAACGATATTAATGGTAGTTTAAAGGTAAAATGATTATAATTATAGTTATGGTGATGATAAATAGCAATAAAAAATTAATTAACTAATTAAATTAAATTAAATAAAAAACGAAAAAAAAAATATTAATACAAGAAAAATAAAATCCATCTTTGTTGAAAAGAAGAGATAGGTGGGTGATAGAAATATTCTTATATTAAAAAGGGGATATAATTTCTATTCAAAAATTTAATATTGTTTACTTCTTCGATAATGATGACTTTTCATTACTTACTTATTTGTGTTATTTTTTTTTTTTTTTGAGTAAGGGATTTTGTCCATCAATATGATATATGAATATATTTAACATAAAATAAAGAACTAATTGGAATTATTAAAGCTATTTGTTAAAGTACCCAAGTGAATAATAAATAATATAAATATAAATAAGCAAGTAGAATTAAAAGGAAAAATCAAGCAGAATAGAAAGGGTATTAGGAGTATTAGATTGTATTATATATATGTATATATATATAATAAGAGAATAGAATATTAAAAATATAGTATTATTTTTCTTATTGTTGCTAAAAGTCCATTATTAAAAAAATCCAGCAATTATAATTAATTTTAATACTAATAAAATTATTGTTATTATTGTTAATCATTAATCCATCTTCTTGTTAAATCAATTGAAAGAAAATTACATTCCTTTTTTGTATACTCTTCATCATTACTTTGTTGCTTATGATATTGTTTTTTGATATGAAAATATATACTATCATTGTTTTGTTGAGTTAAGCTTTACCAAACGAGTTTGCTCTAATTGGAGTAGGTGGAATACTAAATTTTGTTTTTTGAACAGAACTGCGTCTTTTTTCTTTCAGTGAAGTGATATAGGGTGAATCCAGACGTGAAGTTTTTGGTGATAATGGAGGTGAATTTATACCATTTTGTAATGGCATTGTTGTACTATATGATGGAGGTGGTGCTAATAAAGGTGTAACTAGTGAACGACATGATACTAAACGTGCTTCCAAACTCTTTTAAATACAAATATAATTAATAAACAGATATAATAATAATGATGTAATAATATATAAAATGTGTATAAGTTACCTTGACCCTGCCAACCATTTCTTGTACCATTTTTACCGGATTTGGGCTAACATCAGATGAATTTGAATCAACAGACATATGTGATGGTGAACGCGATAATTCTGTCTTATGTATTGAATATAGTTGAGAAGCTGATGGTGGTGGTGGGCCATATTCACCATCTTGTTTATTTTTCAATATAGCCAATTCTATATTCACATCTAGATAAAATTTTAAAGTTATAATGATGATATTATGTATACTTGTATTTATTATTAAAATTGAGATATTTACCTCTTAATTCATCTTTTAATCTTTGTACTTGGACAATTAATATGTTTTTTCCTTCCAATTCATTTTCTAAGATTGCATTACGTTCTATTGCTTTATTGTATTTGTTTTCTAAAGAAAGAAAAAATTTACCTATAAATTTGCAGAATGAAAATGTGGAAATCTTTGGAAGATGGAGAATAATATGGGCAAAGTCTTTCTGGGAAGGTGAAATGGGCAAATTTATCTATCTTTACTTTTTTTTAGAAACATGGTAAATAATAATGGCTATACTACCGAGTACTAAAGTTGTAACCAGTCATAATCAAATATATTCAGCATTAACCTTTTCTTCTCTCTTTGTGTACATATATGTATGATTCTTATGCTCTGCTATCGTCTTTCATCTTTGAAACCACCAACACTGATTTCTAGGTGATAAACATTAGGTAGTGGCTTGTGAATATTGCATAATCAAATAAGACGTAGAGTTTATCCGGTAGAAACCTAATAATATCCAGGATGTTTTCTTTTGATACAAATAACCCCACCTTCCTTAGAAGGAGAATAATTTCAATTGTCGCATGATTAACTTGGAATAATCTTTTCAAATTTATCAGTCTCCTTTCAAAGGACAAGAAGTTATAATGACCAATTCATCTTCTTTCAAGAGAAAAGGGAGGTTACTCGCTATAACGGCGAGTAATATTAACGGATATAGATTTTTTTCATTAACTCCTCACTAGCTAAACATTCGAAATTCTTTTTTGTTGGGTCATCAAGACCTAATTTAGCATTTACTTTAACTCCATTAATCGGACCCCTCTCATCAAAATCCTTTGAAAGGGCACTTTCTTTTTGCCTCTTAAAGTAAAAAAAGGTTTACTAGGTTGTAGACAATCATTCCAGTTGCAAATGACATTTCTTTTCTACTCGCTCTTTAATGGAATAAACAATGGAGACAATTGATGTAGTTATTTGACAGAGAAAATAAGAATCTAATTAAAAAAAAAACAGAGAATTTACGAAATAAACTTTGTTTCGTGACTTCCTTTTTAATGCCATAAATCAATCATCTGCTAACCATTTTGAATGTTGTGCTTTTGAGCACAGAAGAAACTTTAATAGGTTCTTCAAAAAATAGAGAAACATCCGTTCTCTTTAATATTAGGAAAGTTAGAATGATTGCACAACCCTAACCAAAGCCAAGTAAAAAAGTCACTCATTGAGAAAGAAATACACTGTATATAATTTTTTATCTTTGGGATTTAAGCCTCAGAAAAGGTTCTGGACTGAATTTTTAACGATGGATTGGTAAATGAGGCCGAATTTATTTCAAAAAACATTCCACTTGTAACGATCAAATTTCATCGCTTTGCCTACGATTTATAAAAATTTAAAATCAAAATTTAATAAAATAAGATTAATAGTATTAACTTGGAAATGCCTCATTATTTATTTCTATCAGACTGCACCAGGACCTCCGGACAACATAACTACTTTACACAGTATCTAGCACGTGATTTATCAGAGTTAAATAATTTGACACTGAAATAAAGCCGTGTAACAGGTAAAAATTTTGGTCATATATTCACCATTTCTGACACAGGATATATAAAAGTAAAAAAGTAACATCATCAAATTTCATTTTTTAAATAAAATTGTTATAGATAATAGATAACCATCTATTGAGACAAAATTTCATGCTCACAGCTTTTTAAAATGGACCTAGAATGACAAAAATAAATTTTCTAGCAGACCTCAATTATAATTGTCCGGGGTCCTAATGCATCTTTTTAAACGCTTTCATTCATGTCTTTTTGCAGGTTTGTGTTGAGCATAATCTTGGTATTTGGATCACCCGATGTTTGGTCGAGTCAACGTATTTAATTCCTTTGAAGTAATTAATGTTTCTTAAAAATTGTGTAAAAACGCCGTATGCGTTTTGGTTATCTTTCAATCTCTATTATTTGTAAAATGTTAAAATTTAATATTGAATCAATAAGATAGCATCGATAACCAAGGGATTGAAAGTGGAGTGAATCAACAAGAGTCTTGAAGTTCAAAATAACGAAGAAAAGGCGATAACTCCTCCATATTCAACCAATTGCATTTTAAGTTCCATGGGAAGTGATTCTAGACCTGGAAATTGAATTATAACAATCCCTTGAGTTATCGCCAAAGAACGAATTAATGATAAGTAAAATGATTTTAATTGATAAAAGTCCAAATATGATGTGACAATGATCGGTTAATTTTATTCAGAAAAAATTTTGATTCGATTTCAATTTGCCTCAAAGTTCCAAAATGTGGACCAATATACATATTATTTTCTAAATTTTAATAACCCAATCAATATCAAACTCAAAGAGATAGATGAAACAATAACCATTAGGATCGTTAAGCACTGCTAATCCTGTATGTATGCATGCTTTTTAAATAAATCATTAATACGTGGGTTTTTGTGATCGCCAAAGGTAAAAGCTATGGACAAATACTACCTTTAATGATTATAATAATAATAAAGACTTCATCTATTGTTTCTAATAATTAATAGTAAATTAAGTGAATTACCAAAATTAAAACAACAAAACAAACATTTTTTCTTCCCCTCTGATTATATACAATCGTAAGTCGTAGAGTTTTCTTCCAAAAAAATAAAAATGAATAATATTAGATCTTAGGTATAGATAGAACTTATCTTTTCTACACCTATGCAAGTTTCGATCATTATCTTTTTGGAATGTAATACTATGACATAAGCGAATGCTATTGTATTGACAGTTTTAGTATTATTATAGTTGTTGTCGTTATTGTTGTCATTATTATGATTATTTTAGATGCCATGATTAGTATCTTTGAATTAAGTTACACTGGTCATTGCTTGTAAACACGAATATATAAATGAATAAAGAAAACAGTAAAATAGACAAACGCTTCACGTATTTGAATAGTCCTATTTAACGTGTAGACGTCTAAAAACAATGTAGAATTTCAATTATAATACACAGTTAGTTTGTTAATACGTAGTTAGTTAATTTGTATTATTATGTTGATTATGAGTATTATTACTATATGGATATTATAATAAAATAAACGAAACAATGTAATCATCTTTTAAAAATATTCTCTACGAAAAACTCATCACAAGGAACCACTCGTATTATGTCAACTATTTTCTTGACAATCATGTGAATGAATATACTCAATCTATTCATAAAACAATTCATCATGAATATAATTAAATATACGTATAAAATAATTGTTTTTTGGAAATTCCCGTATTGTCTTTAATATTTTATACCATTAGTTGGTTCGTTTTTTTAGTCAACAAAAAACAATACAGTCTCTTCCATCTTTTATATATAAATAAACAAATAATTTGTCTTAATAAATTTCATTATCTTCCTTCTATCAATTGTAAAATGTCTGGTACGCCAGTATCATTATCATTTGTAACAAGTCTGATCAATGGATCTAGAAATAAAAATCAAGATCTTAAAAAAATTCTTTGCGACTATTTAGAAAGTAACAAAGATCAAAATGTTTCTGATTTATATAACAAAGTCAAAGGATTTGAAGGTATTTTAAATGTCTTAAATATTCAAGGTTTCAAGTTTCAAATTTATAAATAATTCAAATTATATCTTGTTAGGGGACGATAATAAATCTGAAATTGAAAAAATCAAAAAAATATTAGAATTAATGATTGATAAAAATGATAAAAATATTTAAAAGGAGTCAATTCATGCAAAAAAATTTTAAATTTTTCGTTTTTTTTTTTTAAGTTACATGACCAAACTTGGTAAAAAAATTTACTAGTCAATTTTAAAATAATAATAAAATTTTCAAAATTTTCAAAATTCCAACAAGGCTTGTTGTTAAAAAATTTTATTTTAGTTATTATTATTATTATAGTCACTTGCATACTACGTATGAATCATGTGCATCAAAGTTATGCAAATAGACAACAGGTGCGTGTTGTATTAATTAATTATAGATGATCTTGCACCGTATTAGCAATTTGTCATACTAATCGTTATAATAAAATATAATTTGTTTGCCTTTATCTTAATCTTAAATTTTCCTAAAAAAAAATGGACAATTGCCCCAAGTGTAATGTAAAAAATAAATATCTTTATTGGTGTCTTCAATGCCTCTCCCAATATTTTCAAGCTGAGTTTTCTAACTGGTCAAGTGGTAATCAAATTATAGACAAATTTATTCAAGAAATTCAACTTAATGCAACTGAATGGGCGCAGTACTTAGAGTGGATTCCATACGAAAGACTAGTTAATGTCCACTATTTAGCAAAAGGAGGATTTGGGAGTGTCTATTCTGCAACATGGCTGGATGGACCGAAAGCCTGTGATCGAGATAAGATCGAAATTTTTTGTAGAAAAGAAAACCATCCTGTTGCTCTTAAAAGTATTAATCATTCAGGACCAGCCATGGAAGGATTCTTTTCTGAGGTAAGTAGAGTTACTTATTTAGAATTATTCTAAGTTCGATTCATTTTAGTAATCCATGTTATTTTTTATTACAGCTTAACATTTATATTGAAGGTAAGTTTCGGGGGTTTTTTTAAAAAAAATTTCTTCTAAATAATAATTGATTCATTTTATATAGCAATGAAAAGTTTTGATGGATATAATGATCTTCTAAGATATTATGGAATAACCCAGAACCCAGAAACAAAAGAATACATGATGGTAACACAGTTTGCAAATCAAGGTTCACTACGTGATTCATTAAATAAGTCGTTTGGAAATAAAATGTTATGGAAAACTAAACTTTATCTCCTTATGAGAATTTCAACTGCCCTCATTACAATACATCAAGCTGGTCTTGTTCACCGTGATCTACATAGTGGTAACATACTGTTGGATGACGACGATGAAGACTCTGCTACAATTCTCGCACCTATGACAAGAGTAAGCGATCTTGGCTTAACTTGTCAAGTTGGTTCAACGGATGATGGCATATTTGGCGTTTTACCTTATATTGCCCCTGAGGTTTTGCTTAAGAACCCTTACACACAAGCTTCAGATGTATATAGTTTTGGTATCCTTATGTGGGAGATGGCTTCAGGCCAAATAGCATTTTCTGATCAACCACATGACTTTGATTTAGCAATGAAAATTTGCCAAGGTCTTCGTCCACCAATTGTTGATGTTATGCCAGAATTTTTTCTTAAGCTAATGCAAGAATGTTGGGATGCGAATCCAAAAAATCGACCTAGTATAATAAAAATAAATTTGATTCTTAATAAATGTATTTTTGTTGATAAACATAAAGAATTATTAGGAGAACCTGATGAATTAGGATTTTGTGATAAAATTAAACCTGAAAATTCAAATAAACCAATTTCAAAATTACACGATAAGGCCATTTATACTAGTAGATTATTAGATTTTAAAAATCTTCCAGTCTCAATCCATGGTAATGTTTAGCAATTTCATTAATGGCTAAAATATTTCTACATTAATATTATATATTTTTATTCATTTGTATTTGTTGTATTTGTAGACACTCAACAATTTAATCTCACAATTCCTGATTATGATTTACTATCACAAGACAACTGATAAATCTATATTTTAAATTATCAAAATATTGGCAATACAAATTTTTTTATGTGTGTTTTAAATATTATGTAACACAATAAACCTAGTAATAAAGAATTTTTTTTCTTTCAATAAATATAACATCAAATTTTATTGTACAGAATACATAATGTCTTGAATTAAAATTTATAATACATCTTTACTGAAGCACAGCTACAGACAATTAAACTAATATATACAAGAAATATAAACAGTATTTATGAGTAATATTATCAGCAAAAAAAAAAAGATTGAAGAAGTTAAAATAACAAAATGAAATAAGGGATTTAATAATAGAACATAGAAAAACAAAATTTACAAGATATTTTTAATTCTCTCAACTTATGATTTTCTTTCGTATGGCGAACTTTTGTTAGACTTAATTGAAGATCGACTAATTTTTAGTGAATTAGGTCTACGCAATTGTCTACCTATTTTTATTGCGCGTTCTGCCAACTTTTTATGTGCACTCTTCTGGTCATTTTTCCTAATATAATTTTGATATGTCTTACTAAACCAGTCATTGAGTTTCTTCTCCGAGAGATTAGTCCAGAATGATAACAATCGAAGCTGTTTTTTGTCTGGCCTTTTAAGATTATGATCAATCAAATATTTGATGAACCATAACACAGAAAGTGGATCTGTTTGCATACGGCAGCTTTGTTCTTTGTAAATATTTATTTATTATTTAAATTAGTACCTTCTATCTGTTCAATTAAAATTAAAAGTGAAATAATTATAATTTAATGACATACCTTTATTGTGTTGAGAGTTTTTTGAAGAATTTACTAGAAATGATGGAGCTTCCTGGCTATTTGCAGTATTTAATATATTTGACGGAAAATCAATTTGCATTTTATGTAATTTATCTTCAAACATCTGTCTTGAATTTAATGCCTCAGTGATTTGTGCCGAAACAGTTCCAATGGCAATAAAAAGCTCCATTTTCGTATAAGCATCAGAAGTTTCGATCTTTTCCATGTTGTATTTGCAATATAAACTTTCAAGGACTCCAGTCACGGAAATAATTTCAGAATAATCAGAATATGTATAGATCATTTCTCTTATGCTAAAACATGTGTGTAATAAGGATGTCAAAAGATTTATATCTTGTGATTTAATTTGGTTTGTATTGCAAGACATTTGTGTTAATGTTTCATTAAATTTTATCTCTTCATAATTCGAATATTTTTTGATTTTTTCACAACTCATTTGAGAATGAAATGTATCATTGTTTTTGGTAGGAGTTATTGTTGTTGATTGACAAAGTGAAATTTTTTTATTTAAGTCTCTTGAAGATTTTGCCACTGAAATATTTAGTTCTGACATTCTAAAGTTTTTTCGACTTCTTTATGATGGTATGAGAGAATAATAAATATTATTACTTATTTATAAATTTTTATTATTATTATTATTGTATGTACATTATTTATCGAACAATTGCTGTGTAACATAGTTTTATCCCTGCATTTGAGAGTGTATAAAATTAATGCAATTTGTAATTATTTTTTTTAAAAGAAAATGAATTCGCTAATAGAAAAATTATATAGTCAGAAGTATTCTTATTTAGATATTCGCAAAAGAGTCTTTCAAATAGAACAAATCATTAACTCTAAAATAAAAACTGGAAATCAAAAAGACAGTTTAACAAATGCAGTTTCCCCCCAAAAGACACAAAGTTTTAATAAGTTTGCGCAATTTATACCAATTTCACAGAACTCGGAAATTAGCTCTAAAATCAAGGATCATTTAAAAATATTTGAAAGTGTTGAAGATGATGAATTGGGGAATGCTCTCCAAAGACTATACCTAGAGTTTGTTAATCAAATTGGTACTAAAATTCAGTGTTTTTATCAGGAGCGAGTAGAAATCATCACAAAGCAAAATCTAATGATTGAAAACAATTCAATCATTTTATTTAGAACAGTACATGATGTTTTTGTTGCAAGGTATATGGAAAACATTGATGCTATACAAAAATTTTTTATAAAAGCCATTCGTGAAGTTCCAAACAAAAATACCCTTTCAAATACCCGGTTTGAAAATCATATTAAAGATATTCTTGAAAATTTCTATAATGAAAATAAATGTCCGAGTAGAATCGAAAAAGAAGAGCTAAGCAAAAGGGCAGGCATTACTGTCAAGCAATTGGAAACATGGTTTAATAACAAAAGAACTCGTTCTAAGGATGATAACGACGATGATGAAGGTATAAAAAAATTTTTAGACGAAAAGATGGATTGGGATACAATATTCGTTAGTATTGATAAAGGAACTTTAACTTCAAAAGACATTTATACTATGATATCTCGTAAACTTAATTGCGAAAATGAGGAAGAAAATTCTAAAGACGTTGAGAAGCAGCAATCTATACCTCCAGAAAATTTAGATGAAATTTTATTAAACGAAAATTCACCAAGTGCTGTGGAATCCATATCAACTACATCTCGAAAATCTTTGATCATTCGATCACGTATTACCAAAGAGGCACGTAAATCAACAGCGCCTTATTCTACAATGACGCCTAGGATAAAAAAACATTCTAAACATACAAATGTTGAAACATCGACAAACAATCCACAGCCACCTTTTCTTAATCAATCACTACAAACAAATCCAACTTTTCAGCATTCAGTTGAATTGGCCAATAATTATTCAGATGGGTTAGAACATACAATTACTTTGATTACAAACGAAGAACCAAATTTAACAACAACATCCAATAGTTTAAAAGCTCGCTATCGTCCCAACAAAAATTATGTAAGGACTAATGCGTCACCATATTTACGTTTATCGTCAAGCGATCAATCAAGTGCTAAAGGAAAAACAAGTGAGATTATGGATAATATTAACATTGATTTATTATTATCAACAAACCCTGCTATTTTCAACGAAAATCAATTATTGTTACATAATACATATAATACAACGAATAATTTATTATTTCATAATAGTCAACAACAATCTTTAGGAGAAGATTTTATGAACAACAATTCTATAGCAAATATTCAATTAGGAACCAATTATGAATTTGAAAAATTACAATCAAACAACATAATAATTGATAATTGGTTGTACGATAAAGGAGAATCTAATAATAATAATAATCCATTTGAAACAACCTTGTCAGGATTTGATGTAAATAATTACTATGAAACCAATGGTATTTTTCCAACGAATAGTAGTACAACAGGCAATCCTTTGTTTATGTTACCAGGGGTTGAAGGAAATAATTCAATTGATACCATTCATAATAACAATATAACTTTAAATCAATCATCTTATTATTTCGAATATAATTTTAATCCAAATTGGGTATCAAATGAACCATTGAACATGAATTATACCTTTTTAGAAGAAGACACAACTTTGTCTGCTCCTACGAACAATCTTTTTTCTCAAACAAATTATACTGTTCTGGGACAAAATAATATTAGCAATGAATTAAATGCATTTTCACTCACAAATTTTCAAGAACAATAGCAATATTTATTGTTTGTATTTTTGATTATTGTATATTTAAAAAATCATTATATATATATATATATGCAACTTGGAACGTGCTGGTCACAAAATTTTGTAAATAATTATATATATATAAAAATTTGTAAATTTTTTTGTATTATTTAATTCCGTGTAACAAGTCCGGAAATTGTTGATCATCTCTAATTTTATATAAAATTTTTGAGACTCTTCTGTATTAATTAATAAAGCTTATAATTAATAAATATAAATTTTAAGAGTAAAGCATAAATATACATTCGCGGAAATTGTTGTTACGATTTAGTATAAATAAAATCGGAAGAAATTGTATTAACATTATTGGCATTTAAATAAATAAATAATCATCTTTGAGTCTAGGACACGATCCCACAATGCTTAAGGGTAAAAATTATATGTCGTATGAAAAAATGAGTAGAGAATTTTTAAGTGAAGTACTTTAAATGTGTAAAGAAAATCCTGAAAAGTGGGTCCCAAAACATATTAATATTGTGGGGGAGGAGATCACCAGACATAATGATGAATTTCCAAATACGGTAATTTGGTGATAAACTTTAACACCAAGATTTTTTAACAACCTTCCCTAAATTTTCTAAAAGGCGGCAAAAAAAAGGACAAAAAATTTAAACTAATTATAATTTTATTAATAGAAAAGATTTCGGGAAAAAGCACTTGAAAATCGTTTAATCGTTCGAATAAAACCTATCGAAGTGCTGTCCAATCGTATGTCAGATATGTGACCTAGCCTCTCTCGTTTTAATATTTTCATATTTAATTTAAAAGAAAGGATTATTACACAAATATTTTTATTATTAAAAAAATTATAATGATGATTTCAATGATGAATGAGTACTTCTGATATAAGATCCAATAATTTATTTGCTTTGGGTTGGGTTAATAGTGGTTTTAGAGAACCTTTGAAAGGAGACGACGCAGCACATACTTTTGTGTTGAGATTTCGTTTGCAAAAAAGAATTAAAAAATTTTCATGAATAATCAACCAAAATAATTGACTAAAATAGTTGATTAAACAGTCAACTAAAATAGTAAAATAGTAGATTAAATAGCCAACTAAGATAATTAACCAACTAATAGTTGACTAAGGATTTCTTTGACTAATTCCAATCTCTATTCCGAATAAAGCTGGTAGCAAATCCGAGAAATATCTCGGAAAGTACTTTTCAAAGTCCGAAATTAAATTAACCAATCAAAAGTTAATTGAAAATTTGAATTCATTCGTTGTATGATGGGTGATGTCTGACCAACAAAATAATACTACTGCTACAAAAAGCCTGCTTGTAAACTAAATAATATTTGGTATTATTTCAATTACCATTGAATAAATCACATGATCATTTTTCTGGTGCAACAAAAATGGAAATGTATTTATGTTCATAGTCTACAACCACATTTAGCAAATATAAGCTTTGCTTTTTATTGGAATATATAATTATGTCTGATTAAAATAAATAAATAAATATTTTTCTGGATTTATCAAATTTATATAATATTTCTGCAGAAATTTAGGATTTGGCAAACATTTCAGATTTTTGGATTTTAAAAAACCAATTCAGAATTCCATTATCATTACCATCATTTATTACAAATCCGTTAATAAAACGGAAAAAAGTTTATTGTTAAATTATTAAATTTAATGATTTCTTTCTTTATGGAATAAAAAATTGAATTTTATTTTTCTCAGGGCTTTGCCATTTGATAAATAAATTACCTTTATACTATTAACAACATTGAAAGAGCAAGGTTTGTTTTAATTAATTAATTTTTTCATTAGTATAAAACTGTTTGATTGAAAAGAATCATCAGGTTTTGTGTAGTATTTGTGTGTATACTTTGACACACAAAGGATGTCATTAGTTAGTTACAAGTTTTAAAAAGAATTGTTGTGTTCAATTGAATGTCACATGCATTAATTAAGAAAAAAGAACACTGGCTGATAAAAGAAAGGGTGCAAGATAAAGGTTATTTTTGGCTGAGATAATTTAGGAAGCGGGGCAAAACAAAGTGCCTTTTCCAGATCACTTCAAAGGAAATGGGAAAGTTGTTTTTTATAAATGTGACATGATCAATGAAATTAAAGCAAATGTCAATGCCTTTTATCTAAGGCTCTGAACGAATCAATGAAATTCGAGCTGAACATTACTTTTTTTTTGTTATCGTTATTAATGTTAATATGTAGAGTTTCTATTCGTTCAAACTATTCATTTTATTCGTTTATTCAAATAAACATTTGAATACTCAATTCATAACAAATAAAACAAATCATGACATTAAAAGGAATTTAGGATTCCTATCAAGTTGAACTGAGTCACAAATCAAATCGCTTTAAAATTTGACTCAATTTGATTCATTTGGAGCCTTATTTTTTATATTTGGAACTTGAAATTGCTCACAACAACAACGACAACATAGAAAAGAAAGAGAGACTGCAATATAAAAGTCATTTGCAACTGAATAATTACCTACTTTAGAAGGCAGTGGAGGGGGCAAAAAAAAAGTGTCCTTTCCCAAATTACCTCAAAAGAAATTGGGCAGTAAAAATGGGAACCGCAATTAGCTGCAATTCAATTTTTATATGTCGCAATTAGTTGAGTAGTCATCTTTAATGAGAAGTTGTTCTTTATCATTAACAATTAAAGCAAATGATAAATGATAAATGATAAATTTTTGACTTTGATTTTGAGCCTGAAATAACTGAGGCATCAATCAAAACGATTTATTTATGAAACTCGTGTGAACTTCTGTCTCATTTCTACTTCCTAACATCGACTGAGAATGTTTATTGCATTGATCCTGATGACCCAAAAAGCAAAAAAATATAGCAATCAATTTTATTGCATTCAGAACTGATTGTGAAATTAGCAAGTTGAGTGAAACACGTTCACTTTTGTTTTGGATTAATCACATGTTAATTGCTTTTTGGGGCCCAAAGACAATAGTGATACTTGATGAAGAGAGTCAACTACATGTCACATACTCTCCCACATCTTGATGATTAATGAGGCATTGAGAGAATTCACTTAAAAATTGGAGCATAAGAAGGCTTAGGAAGCTATTCAGAGTCACCAGAAAATTGAATATCACATAAACATATGCTGGCGTAGGTTTATATAAGATTTAATTTCCTGATGATACCCTCAAAACAGTTCATTTCATTTCAGAAATTCCAACAACTCATAGCATCCATTGAGAGCTTGGCCAAGATCCGAAAGGGTTTGAATATTTCAAGCCTCAGCTAAAGAATTGACATAGTCAGCAGTTTTGTATAGAGAACATGGATAAAACTTGGCGCTATAGAAAGAAATTATATAAAGAATATGGCAGAAAGAAGCCTAAATAAACAATCACATGTCTTGCTCTTCTCGATATTCACATTCTGATTCTCTTGAATTTCCAAAATCACATTCATTTATCCTGCCAATTATGCTAATTGGAATTCTATAAAAGGCCATGTTCAAGAAGACAGTGGCAAGGTGAGGGAGCAAGCATAGAAGATATTGTACAGTTGAAATGACTAATGAATACCATTCTTTGCAAATTTGTGTATGGATGGTATTTCCAACAGATTATTAGGCTTGCACAATCTCGTAAAATTATAATTGGTGACAAAGCACATGAGTGTATCAACCCATTATGTATTTCATTCACACTACAAAGCCCCGTGATTCTCATTCAGTAACTGTAATTGCGTCCGGGCTGCTCTCGGCTTCTCCACTTCTCAAAAACTTACATACCAACACAAATCAATTTCTGAATATTTAAAACACTATTGATGTCAAAAGATCAAAATTCGATGGGAGTTTTTGCTGTACAGGGAGATTTAACAAATAACTGGTCATTTATTATATGATGTTGAGTTTCTAAAAGAAAAAAATGTACAGTATCTATTGAAAAGAAAATTTTGGTATTTGATACTTCAAAGTATATGATATAAGATTCAGACGAAATTGTTTAACTTTGAAACATTTTGACAAAATAACGGTTTATACACATATATATATTATGGCATGTAAAGTACATTCCTTCTAACGTATAATAAACATATTTATTTACACATTTATTCTTTGATATATATTCAGGTGAAGATTTTGTTTCATGCGTATATAGAAGAACGTCGGAAGTGAATAAATCAGTTTTTCGTAATAAAGAATCTCGAGGAAAAACTCTTTATCGGACAACTACTACTTAATACAAATAATAATTAGATCTAATGCCACAAAAACTACTATTATCAAATTTCAAATTCCAAATATCCATCACTACACCGTTTGCTGTTTAATTATTTGCCACTCTGCCAGTCAATTAGCACTTTAATTCTTTAGAAATAATAATTCAAACCTTACAAATACAACAAAAACAATACATAAAAATTCTATTTGTTAACGTTGTATTGATTTTATAACACTATTAATATTTCTCGCTTTATTTTTTTTTTTTTTTGTATGTAATAGAAAATATTAATAATCTTTACTATGATTTTCAGGCGTTACCCAACAAAATATAAACCCTTCCAATTGCAAATGATTTTTCAAAATTTCAATATTTTTTAACATATTCTTTTCATCATCTTCGGTTTCTTTAAAACCTTTCCAAATTCCAACAATACAACCACCAGAACCTGTAAACTTGGCCGCAAATCCATATTTATTGGCTATTTCAATCATTCTTAAAGTATTTTTACCTAATGAATTTTCTCCGAATATTTTTAGTCTATAATTAAAATTTTTTGTCATTAATATAGAAAATTCTAAAGATTTTTTAGATGAGGAAATTGTTTTATCATTTAGTAATTCGTAAGCTTCTTCCGTAATATTAGATAATTCTTTCATTGTCGTTATAACCTTTTAAATTTAAATTTAATTATTGTTTTTTCTTCTTCTCAAAATAATAATTTCTTGATTTAATATTTACCTCTTGATCGCCAGAATCATATCTTTTTCTTATATTACTATGAATTCTGCCAGAACTACTCGGATTACATTCATATGCTATCCATAAATATTTAGGTAATAAATTTATATCAATTCTTTTATAAATACCGTATCCTTTTGTCTTCATATGATTTTCATCGAAATTCATATACATTAAACCTTGATATACTTGTATAACTCTATCCTGTAATCCTGCTTGTATACTCAATTCTATTTTTTCAACTGATAATATTAAACTTGGTTGTATGTCTAAAGGTATATCCCTATTAGTTAAATCATAAAATTTCATTAATGATTTAAAAAACGCTGTTATTATTGCTGATGAACCTGATAAACCAACTTGTCTTGGTATATTTGTATCAAATATTATTGAAAACCCTTGATTATGAAGAAAGATTTTCCTTATTTGGCAATAATCATAAAAAACTTTTAAAGTTGCTTGAATTAAATTTGTCGGATTATCATAACCTTCTATGGTTGATATATTTACTAAAGATTCTAAATTCTTAAATGATTGTAAATTTAAATTTGCTGATGTATGCAAATTAATTTTTGAATAATTATCATCATCATCTACAAATTTATTTGGAATTAAAGTAATTTCTGCACAAAAATTTGAAATCAGCAACGAAATGGTTTTACCAAAGAATCCATCTGATGGATTACCAATTAATCCTATCCTAGCATAAGATTTTGTTATAATTGATAAATTTTTATGATGTTGATTAGAATTTGCAATTAATCCACTGCTGCTGCTGCTGCTGCTACTACTACTACTACTACTACTACTACTACAATTATTATTATTGAAAATTGATTGGAAAGTTGTTTGATAATCAATTAATGAAAGATTTGAATTTGACCAGTTTGATAAAAAAGATTTTGAAATTTTTGTAAATTTAATTATTTGATTGTTATTTATAAGAAATTTTAAATAATCATTTAAAATGTTTTTATTATTGTTGTAACTTCCACCATCATTTTGAAGAAATTCTTTATATTTTTGAATTAGATTTAATGAAATCAAACTAAAAACAAACCCAATTTGATTTGATTTTTTGGGAATATTTAATTGATCTCCCGTTAATTCAATATCAATTACTTTATCACCATCTCCATTATGATAGATAATTTTATTAATGATTTCATGTTCACCTTCATTTTCATTATAAAATAATTGCTTAATAATAATTTTGTCTTCTTCATTATTAGGATTAAATAATAAATCTGCATAAAGTATAATTGTAGAATTTTGAAACCTTTTAACATTGTTTACTAAAAGAAGATCATTAACAATATCATCGCTGTTATTATTTCAAAATCATATAATTAATAGATTGATAAATTAATTAATAAAAATACTAAAATATATTTCAAATACCTTTCATTAGGAAAAGAATTTCCATTATTGATAAGATTATTTCTCGGAATTGAATTAGAAACAGCCCATCTCAAATATTTAGGATAACTAAACAAATGTAAACATTGTACACGCATGTATACATTATTTATTAGCAAATTTGATTTTATTATTTTTAGATTTATGAAAAATTAGTTTACATACTTTAAAGCATTAGTTACAATAAAGATATCGCCTTTAATGTATTTTCTCGATGCATCAAACCACCAATTTATTGCTGGCTTATTTGAAATTGGTAATAAAGGTTTGGGTAAACCATATATTGAAAACAATTCATTATCAAATATCTTTTGATATTTTATTTCATTTTCAAGTTTTGAGGTTGGAGAGGTGGCTAAAATTACTAAGTCAAAAATTTTTTTATTTTCCATGGGAAATCAAAGTGTTTATTTTTCATTTACCAGATTTAAAAATGTGTTGGTCGAAACCAAATATTTATTACTAAAAATTAAGAATGTTCGAATTTTAGGATCAAGACTTTTTTTAAATATTACATTAAATATAAATAAGGTGGTGGGTGAGAAGCGAAAAAAAAGATTTTTTTCTTTTTAAAAGTTTTCTAAAACCAATAAATAATTATTAATATATTAGATTAATTATTAGATTAAAATTTTTTTAAAATATATTTAAATGTGTAAATTACCTTTTCCGTAAAAGAATCTTGTGCCATCATCAAAACCCTGACTCCATAAATTGGATTTGGTATGTAATTGTTTTCCAAGTGGTTTAGGGCCACAAAAGAAAACTCCTATGTCGGTTGCAGGATATTTATCTCTCATATTTGAGAAAACTTTATCCCAATTCGGTCTACCATAATGAGTCAAAGCTCTAAGACCCGTTATTGTATCTTTTGTGGTAAAGTCATTGTTTACCAAAATATTACCAACTTCTGAGTTTCTTAACTTGCCTGTAAGGTATGTATGAATTTCAATGAATTGTTCAATGTCTTGTTCCTCAATTGCCAATAACAAAGATTGAAACCATTCAAACGACTGCAAAGATAATTTTCTTTTAAAATTAAGCACTATAATAACATTTATAATAGTAATAGCAACAGTAGCAGTAGTAGTAATACTAATTAAAAACCTACATGATGATCACGACAAATCCAGAAAAAATAAACTTTACGAAGTTTTGTTGATTCCTTTGGATAATTTACACGATACCTACATAAATTGATAAAGATTATTATATAGTATTATATATAGATACATATATGTGTGTGTGTGTGATTAATAGATTAAATATAAACACTACCAAATGCTTTTTAGAATGCTAGCAAAAGGAGTGACACCAATGCCAGCTCCAATTAACATAGAAACTTCAAATTTAAAAACATCTTCAGAAGCACTACCAAATGGTCCATCGATCATTACTTTAGGTAAAATTTTTAATAGTTTAGGATTGTTTGAGGATATATCTACACCATCATAACAACTTTTTATACGATGTTTATTTTCTTCACGTATTTTTACTTCTTCATTAAAATCACAACCTAATTTTTTAGCAAACGCTTCAGTGAAATCTCCTACAATTCTTATATGCACAGAAATGAAATCTTCCTCAGGTGCAGAGGTTAAAGTGAACGGATGCCATTCAAATAGTGATACTTGAGGACAACATAGAAAAATATATTGACCAGCTTTTGCCTTGATTGATTCTTTTTTTATTTGTATTTCAACAACTTTTGATGGATGCATAACAACCTTCGAAATAAAAGTTTTATGTCTACCACGAATTTCACGTAAAACTCGTTCACCAATATAAATCACACCCGAAGCTATCCAATATTTCCAGAATGAAGCTATATCGTGGCAATAAGGTGGACGATCAGGTTTTATCATACAAAAGATTCCATGAAATGCCCACACACCAAAGAAAGGGATGCATAAGTGGTGCAAATACCAAAACATATTGTAATGACGTTGCCTTGAAGACTCTCTAGCAGTTATAACCATTATTATCAAACAAACTAACATAACATAACCAGTCGCACCAGGACCAGACATAAAATTAATTTTTAACCATAATATAACTTTGTTTTGATCATCATCCATAGAAGCAGCTAATTCAGCAAAATTTACCCAATGGGCAACGGTATGAATCAATGTGAAAAACGTTATTGACCAACCAATTGCTTTATGAAACACAATATTCTTGTCGAATGGTATGACGTTGTTAAGAGGAGTTGCTCTAAATAATGATACTAAATTTCTGCAAACAGGAATTAAAATAATTGCGGCATCCACATGTAAAACCATTGCAGATGAACGAGCAATAGCATAAGTTATGCCAAACATTTTACGTGCACCTTTCAAATTATCATGTAATGAGAAATGAATAAATGCCATTGAAAATATTAGTCCATGGATTAATATCCATGTAGCAGCAAAAATCTTTCTATTTCCTATAAATATGAAAAAAATAGATAAATAAACAAAATTTCAAAGTCACAGAAAAATAAAAACCATTCGGAATATACCTTCATTTATCATCCAAGCCTGAAACCTTTCATGTCTGGTTAAAGGATCTTTAACAATTGTAGTTGCGTTGTAAGCCTTTAAAGGATCAAATCTATCCAATTTAGAATTGTTCATCGATTCGCAGACAATAACGTTATTTTGTTGTTGTTAATTCAATAATTCTATAATTCTATCAAAGTTTATTCTTCGCCAGTAAAAAGATGATGATGTTTGTTATGCTATTAATGTCAGTATTAACTTTTTGTATCTATGTAGTATAATTGAGATGTATAATTGACTTTTTAAAGGTATTTCTAAATTTCCTACTATTACTATTATACATACATCTATAAAAATGAATTTGTATTTTGTTTATATGAGAAGTAAAAAAAGCTTGAATTTAAAGAATAATAAATAAAAGGGATTATGAAAGAAGTGGATGAAAGTATGGAGGATAAAAAAAGAAAAGAGGGAATAAAGAAAGAATAAAAAAAAGAAAGAAGGAATTAAAAAAAAGAAAGAAAGAATTAAAGTGATGGGTAACGTTTTAGAAAAAATAATTTTATAAAATCTTCTCGCAACCTACCATATTTGGTATAGAAAATAATAAATATGTAAGTAATTTATTTGCATTTAAAAATATAAAAGGAAAAGTGGAAAACGGAGATAGCAACGAGTGAACACACAATAATAAAGGAAGTAGTAGATAGAAAATGATACCTCATACACGCATCAAAATTTCTTTTTTAAGTTTTTGATTGTAAGAATTAAAAATTACACGCGGCACCACATTTATATTAAATGTTTTTTTTAATTTCTAAAAATAAATAAAAAATGAACAAATAATAAATCAAATATAAATTAAATTAACAGTTGTACGAAAATAATTGAAATTAAAATTAAAATAATATAATATTTAATAATTATATTTTGTTTCGTTCGTTTCGTTTCGTGAAAATTACATTTCTTATTTTTTTTCTTTTTTCCTATTTCTTTGGAAAATTTTTTTTGAAAAAAAATATAAAAATAAAAAATACGAAAAGAATAATTTATTACTCCTTTTAATCCTTTTAATTCACTTTCTTATAAACAATAACTATCAAAAAAATTTATTTTACAGTTCCAGAATGAGCAAAAGATTATCTTTATTTAAACTTTTAAATTTCAAATCTAATGATAAAAAATCAACAGTCACTTTACCAGCAGATATTTTATATGAAGTTTTTTCATTGGTAAAAGATGATCCAAAAACTTTACATTCATGTATTTTAGTTAATAGGCTTTGGTGTGAAATCACTGTACCATATTTGTGGTCAAAGGTATTTAAAAGCAACTCACCACCAGCTTCTTCAATCATAAACATTTTCATTGCAAGTCTTGAAGAAAATGAAAAATTAGAACTTAGTAAAGCTGGCATCAAGATCACAAATCAACTTAGAAAATCACCAACCTTTGATTATGTTAGCTTCATACAACACGTTAGCTTGGATAAACTTTATTCTTCGATCTTAAAATGGACACAAGAAACGATTATGAAAAGACATAGTAATAGCCTCGGATATTATTATAATAATAATAATAACAATAATGTCATTGTCAGGTAAGTGATATATTATTTGAATGTATTTAATATATTTGAATGTTATTTAATCTTATAACTTTACATTTATTACTTTTAAAATAATTAATAGAAATTCAGAAATAAATGATTTAACATTAAGAATTTATTATACCATCTGCAAATTATTTTTTTACCATAAAGCAAAAATCAGTTCATTAAGTTTGGATAGATCAAGTAAATTGACATGGATGAAGATTAAAGACAATTTAGGAGTTGAGTTAGATCTTTCAAATATTAGAGAATTGACTATTAATTATACTACAGACAAATTTTTTTTTGAAGCTATAGAAAAACAAATCAAAAACTTGAAGGTATTAAACATTATCAAATCATCAGATGAAGAATTGAGTAATTTTAAAGATCAGAATTTCTTGAGCTCTTTGATATTCTCTCAATACAATTTAAATAAGTTTTCATTAAAATGTTACGATACAATTAAAGTAGGATTTAATTCAAATATTTTTATACCATTAGCAAGTCAATCTGACACGTTGACTTCTTTGAGCTTTTATGGAATACCATTTCCAAACAACAAATCTATCAAATCGTTAAAAGTCTGTAAAAATTTACAGGAATTGGAAATACGCAGATGCACAAATTGTTTAGAAGAGATCAACGATTTAAATGATTTGGAATTTCCTGAATTAACCAAAATAAATTTGATCGAATCTTCAATACAATGGACAAAGTTAATTCAGATAATCGTTAAAAACAATCCAAAATATTTGAAGGAATTCATTTATCAACCATGGGAATTATTGGAAGAATCGAATAATAATTTAACCAAAACGATAATTAAATATTTGTCAATTTATAAAATCAAATTAGAAACTTTTGGAATTTCAATTATCGAAGGTGCAGAGAATCATCATGATGATTATGACAACGATGAAAATGAAAAAGAAAGAGAGGAAGAAGAGAAAAATATTGCTTATTTGATTGATATATTTGAAACATCAAAATATTTAATGAAAAATCTAAGTTTATTTTCATCGTCATCATCGTCATCCAAATTAAAGTCAAATAATGATTATGATAATAACGATAATGATAATAAATACATTGAAGATATTTGGCCAGAATTAGGCAAATATTTACCAGTCACATTGAAACATTTAAATATCTGGATTTTCATTGGAGCAAAGCCGATGAAGGATTTTTTATTTAATACAAAAGCAAAATTAGATACGTTGTATATTGATTCGTGGAACGAAGATTACTTATGGTCACCATATAATGACGTTTTAAATGATTATATCAAAGATAGGTCACTAGACATTAATGAATTTTTCTATCCCGCAATCTAATAATCTCCTATAGACAGTTAATTGAGCGTGGGATTATTTTCTGGGCGGCGGTAGACTAGATAAGAACCGATATATATCCGTTTATACCCTTATTATTATTGTTATTGTTGTTGTTGTTGTTATTATTATTATTGTTATTATTTATTTCATTATATAATTAATCATCATCATTATTATTTAATAGCGTTGATCGCAAAATTTTCAATTTATTTTTTAATCTAATTTTATTCTGTTTCTTATTATTTATTATTTATTATGCTTTTTATTTTTTTTAATAATAAACAATTACAATAATAAATTAGATTTAAGTTTTATTTGTATTATGGTTTTAAGATGTTTTAATTTGTTTTTTACAAGAAACAATAAATTCTTTTTCTATATAATAATAATTTAAAAGGTGCAGAAGTTAGTAGGAGAGGCCAGAAATGTATTGGATTATACCCGTTAGATGAATTCCCTCATACATGGGTAAATTCGATAAGTCGGTCTCTTGATAAGTCGTATTTGGCCTAACTCGGCCAAAAATTTTCAGCCCTTTTTTTCAATATTTAAAATCTCTTGATAATTCGGCCAATATATATAAAATCACGATAAGCTGCAAGTCGGCCAACCCTTCTTCTAGAGTATGTGTAATAGTAAATTACTCTCGATAAGTCGGTCACACGTGATATTTGGATTGAAGGTCATCATTACTATTTTTAGTAATGTGTAATATTATTTTGGGGCCATTTTATTCGGTCACAAGGAAAGCATCACACAAAGTTGACGATCATTTATTACTTGAATAAATAGATATATTTTTACATTTTTCAACAAATGTGTTTTGTAAAGGGATTCAATGGATTCCTATTTTTATTATATTTAATTGTTGTAAAAGAATATATTTATTTAGAAGTACAAAAATGGTTATTATGTGCGTTAAGTTATTTGTATTATTAGTATTGATTTTTTATAAACTATATTGAATTTATATGCATAAATGATCAGCATTAAATCTTGTTGGTTACATTTATTGATTATCTTAGAAAAAATGTTCTTTCTGTATCAATTAATTGCATCATTTATTATCTCATTTGATAATTTAGAAAAGAAGAAAAATCATTTCCTTTTGTATTGTGAACAACGCATTTATTTTTATTATATTTTTTATGTATAAAAATGTTATAAACATCAATCTAAAAAACAAATTTCCTTCCTCTGATAATATAAATTTATTTTTATTTGTAATGAACTTCAAGCCAATAAAATTTAACTTTTGCATGATATCTGGAAGGGAAGATAGTCACAAATTTAGCCGATGAAATCTTGCTTCACGAGGTCACCAGGTAATTCTATGAGAACCCATGTGCTTTAATGGGGTAAAAACAGAACTTTTTTTTGACAAACTAGTGTAAATGGGATCAGAACTGGTATCCAAAAAAAAGGTAAAAATTTTTTTTGATTTTTTCTCAAAAAAAGGGTAAATTTGAAACATTGAAATATGTCCCGATCCATATAAAAGGTAGTAGTAGATTTAGGGATGGAGTAATTCCATGTGGCCAGAACTATTTGTAACACAATGATAATAATTAACCTTAAAAAAAAAAATAGTATATAATTTATATATATTTTTATATTTTAATGATTGATAGAAACATACAGAAGTGGTAGTGGTAATGATAAAAAGTATAATTTTTATTAAACAATAACATTTATTAATAAATACTATATAGACTTATATTGGTGATTGATAGAAACAAAATACACATTATTAATAATAATATTTTTGATTGATAAATAGTAATAGAAATACATATATATTTTTAAGATCATCTTATAGTTGGATAATTTTCAACAAAAAAAAAACTTTAGTAAAATGGTAAAGACACATAATTGTAAAAAAAACTCACAAGAAAACTTCTTGGAGAACACAATCTAGTTGGTATATAATAGACAGTAAAACTGTGTATTGTGTCTGTGGTGATAGGATTAGATTAGGTAAAGAGTGGTATCCTGATTTGTTAATATGTCATGCAAAAAATAATAGATGTCAAGAAGCAAGGAAAGGAAGACAGACTATTACTAAAAAATTTTCCACTAAATAATACAAATAACACACAAAAAAAAAACTCCTTGTCAAGGTTTAAAAAATGATAAAATTATTAATTATTTAGAACATGTTGGAATTTGGTGGTTCACATCCTATAAAAGAGATTGCAAAAGAAATATTTCCAGAAAGCTTTGAAAATAATAGTGATAGCTTCCATTGGGATGATTTTCCTATTGAAGCTCAAGAAATTATAAGAGAGTTCAGATTATTTACTATGTTGGTTATGGATAAACAGATATTAATTATCAATTAAATACTCAATTATTTACATTCCATTCAGAAATTTGGAATTTGGTATAGGTTTTTAAATAATGAAAGCTCAATCAAACTTTTAATTCAATCTATCAATTGATGATGTGAATAAAAAATTTAAATTTTTAATAATAAATAGAAAAAAAAATTGTATAACTGGTATGTTTAAAGAAGGTAACTTAATAAATTTTGTATGTACTGTGTGATCCAAAACGGTGTAAATTTTGAAATAGGGTAAATTTAATGAAATTTACTAATTGACCAGGATGATAGTTCACTTATAATTACCTGGTGCAGTGTTCGGCGGAATCGGCGCGCGCTAACCAAATCTGGAAATTCAATGTAGATAATTTCCAAATTAGACTAGCTTGATGTCGAGGCACAGTCGAATTTCGAACACTGACCCGGTGCCCTGTTATTTTTTTTTTATAAAATATTTTTGGAATAGATCAACAAAGGTGCGCATCCAAATTTGTATGGATTGTTACACGACGAGATTTCAACATCACTATGGTGCGCGAAGCCTATAACCACCATTTTGCACGTGATTTTTGAAAGAATAGAAGTCCGTTTCTGTTGATCCTTTTTTAAAAATAACTCTGTTATTGCATAGATTGAGACTCAAACTTTATCGTAACAGAGAGATTTTTTCAAAATATTGATTGGTTATCGTGTTCTATTCCTTTTTAGTACATGTATTTTACTATGTTCAAGATGATTTGGCAGTAACACGATTGTCTAAATTTAGGATGATCTACGATTATCATTTCTAAATTTGGTCTTGTATAGATGTAAAAAAATCACCGCGTCAAAAATATTTATAAAAATTATTTGTCTTAATTAAATTAATTATGCCACCAAAAAAAAGAAATTCTCAACTTAAAGAAGCTAGACTTGCAAAAAAATCAAAGAACAATTTATTTATTCAAAATACTCTCTCACATGATTTTGTACCAGAAACTGATGATGATGATAAGACTATTTGTGAATCCGATTATGTTGAGATTGAAAATACTAATGAGTATGAACTTTCTGATAGTGATGCTGATGATGACAATTGGCATAGTGAGGCATTGGATAATGTGATTGAAAATTTAGATGCATCAATTTTTGAAGTTATGATGCAAAATGCTCATAAAAAAGATTTTTCTACTTCTAATCGTCCATTGGTATATATAGGAAATTCTGAAAGAACCACTTATCGCAAAAAGGCACAAAATCAAAAGGATGCTGCAAATTCTATGAAATTAACAAGTTTTTTTGAAAAACAAAATCTTGATTCATTGGAAAATAATAACATTGCAA